TGGTCGGATGGATAGATTAAGAACAACTGCCTAGCACTGAGTAAATTATAATTTATATCCACTGTCAATCTCAGAACAAAAGACCTCAGGATGATGTTTTTCATCTCTCAGTACCTGAAGGACCATGCAACATCTTTTTAAAAAATCCTTAGTCTACGTACAGTCCCACTAATTCACTGCAAGGCACCTGCCACCTGCATGGCATATGTGTGTACATGTTGAAAAACTGGCAAGCATTTCTGGACTGACTTCTCATGTGTTGCAAATCACAATCATCCTGATTGCAGGGAGTAACACCATGCAGGTCAGACTTGGAGCATCAGTGACTATGATGAAGACAGGCAACACTGAAAAGTCCTGGAGCAAACAGTAGGGATTAGCGAGTGACAGGTGATTGTAGCATGTAAGTCTGTGACAAAAGGAATAGCAAGATCCTTAGGTCCACAAACATGAAAGATTTTGGTTTGGAAATATTGCTTGTACTTTTTACACAGCCCTTAATGTGGGTGACCGTAATGCTTTTATGTCAAGCTGGAGATGAAGCACCACACAGCTGCTCACTCAATCCTCCCCCTCTCCCCCCACCCCACCCCAGTGGAATGGGGAGGAGAATCCAAGTAAAACTTGTATGTTGAGATAAGAGCAGTTTAGTAATTTATTATAAAGTAAAATGAAATAATAATGGTAAATAATGATAATAAACAGGGAAAAAAACCCAAGTGATGCACAGTGCAATTGCTCACCACCCACTGACCGATACCAGACCCCCCCCTTCCCAAGTCCAGATTGGCCACCATTCCAGGTAATTTCCCCCAGTTTATATACTGGGCATGACATTCTATGGTGTGGAATATCCCTTTGGTCAGTTCAGGTCACCTGTCCCAGATATGCTCCCTCACAGTTTCTTTTGCGTACCTCCTCACTGGCAGAGCATGAGACAGGAAAAAAAAAGTCCTTGACTTCGGATAAACACAACTTAGCAAAAACCAAAACATGTGTTATTGACACCATACTCATTCCAAATCAAAAACACAGCACTGTAACAGCTACTGAGAAGGAATTGACTCTGCCCTAGCTGAAATCAGGACAGTGACTTAATCAAAGTCAATCAAGGCTGGATCTGAAAAAAGATCTAGGTGCCTCAGAAGGTGTGTAAGCAGACTTACACCATCAACATTTAGATTTAGAAAGGTATTTGTTCAGCAACTGCCTAACCCTTGAGGCAACTACATTGACTTGGCACCTCTCTGTTGGGCTGCAGTGATCCCCCCAGAACCTGCAGTTCTGTTCCTGTGCATGTCCTGGCCACATATCCCTGCTGCTTGCTCCTGCCTAGACTGGATCAGGCTCCCAAATCCAGGCAGAGGATTGCAGTCCCTGGAGTCCTCTCAACATGCCCATTGATTCCACCACACACTGTCATACACCACCCACAGATCTTCTCACTTCGATGTACATGTTCTACATCAAACAGCCCTGAATGAAATCACTTCAGGAGCAGGACTTGTTCCTCCCCATGCCAGCCAAGTGCCCTACTCACTAGTGTAATGCGCTTGTGCTGTGGTTCTCAGCCTTGCCTAGGAAAAGCTCCATGCAACCCCTCACTCCATGACCCCACTGGCTTTCTGCTGCGGCTGAAGTAGATAACAGGGGTTTGGGTTCCCAGCCAGGAGCAGGCACACAGCTTGTGTATACTTGGACCTAACCTTCAGCAGGGAAAAAGACATTTGGCAGCAGAGGGCTCTTCCCCTTCTCAGAATAAGGCCTCATGAGATTAAAAGGCTGCAGGATGAGACTTGGCACATTTAGACTCAGGGCAAAAAAAGAATAATAATTAACAGTGCAAGTAATGAAGCTATTGGAGAAGCATGCTAAGGTTTGTGGCTGGTTCTTCAGCATTTAAGATGTCTCTTTCTCAAAGAAATGTTCTAGTTCAAATGGGAGGGAATTAGGTCAGGGGAGTTCTCTGACCTGAGGTAGGTAGAAGATCATGCAGATAATCTACATATTCCTTCTGGTCTTGTGACTAATTCCCTTTGGTGCAGCTATTCCTGATGTGAGATCGCAGGGACCTGTGCTTGCCCTCAGGGACTTACAAACTAATTACGTTTGTTGTGTCAACCCATTAGATACTCATAGGCTGCATGCAGACTCATTAGTTAAACTGAATTATGTATTTGGTCTTTGAATGTTATCAAAACATTCAGATCTAGCATGTTTCATGGTCTGCCACTATTATTTCTTCTTTGTACACAGATTTCTGTGGTTACTTCTTGCTTAAAAACCACAGACTTCTCATATACTAGTTTCGGTTATTTCATAAATTGAAACTATGGTCTCTGATGTCATCCTGATCTTTTAAATTTATCTTACTTTTGATGAAACCCTTTATTGTTAGATTAAAAAACAGTAAATATTTGTTTCAGATCTCATATATTAACTTTGTTTTAAAAAACCTGGCAGCACAAGATTCCTACAGAAGATGTATACTAGCTCACACATCAAAGGCCTGCAGGCCCCTGGTAGGTACCTCCACACTTGCAGTGCCTGCAAAAGATCATGATCTGCAGTCCCTCCCATTGAGCAGGATGTTCATGGATGGTGGGATTTGATAGGGAAATATAAAAATAATGCAAAATGCATAGAGCCCCTGGATTCACTGCAAATGATCTGTTTTGCTTTGAGCTGGGTCCAAACTACCCTGAATTTTCCTACAGCACAGGTGAGACTCTTGCTCTGAAATCCTCAGTCTCTGTGCCTCCTTTGGAGCCTGAAGCAGTCTGCCTCATTTCTTCCCTTCCACCTTTCATAACAAACAGACAACAAGAAACTGGTCTTGGAAGAGTTTTGAGATCCCACGACTGTCTTCCATCTGCAGTGATGTTTCTTTGGACTCTGGGGGTGTGTGTATCCATCAGGTGTCATCTTCATGTCTTCATCCCAAGCCAATTTTTCAGAGGGACTCCAGTGTCCAATGACTGTAGGAATATCAAGAGCTACCCCAGAGCCATTCTCTTCAGTCACATTTATCCACCAGTTTGCATGTGCTGGCTGTGCATTTCATGTGTGAATAATAGTTTTTTGTGACTGTTATTCAGCACCTAAATACTTTTGCTGGAAGGAAGGTGGAGGACAGCAGGGTGGGGAGGTTTTTATTTAGTGAGACTGTTAGTATTTGCTGACAAGAATCACTGACTATCTTAAGAAAAGGGAATCTGACCTTATTCCAAGTAACTAAACAGGAATTTGCACTGCAGAATATGTGTGAAGCATGTGTTTTCCAGGAAAAAAAAAGAGCATTTACAGTCGTGTTGATCTGTGAGGAAACATCAGTGATCACACAGTGTCCACATTCTTTATGATGACTTGATTATTTTAGCTTCAAGTCAGTGGAAGCAGTACATGAACACACCCTCCTGCTAGACCCACCTCACGTGAACTTAGCCTCATGGCAACTCCTCTCTTGTGCTTCAGATATTCCTAAAGCTTCCTCTAGCCTGGGAAAAAAAGTTAATCATGAAGCAGGTGTGCAAGAATCCTGTTCCAGCTGACTGGATTTTCACATGCAGACATTGGTGAGGTCAACACTAGTGGAGTCCTACAGAGAGCATGAGAATGCTCCAGACATTTTCGTTCTGAGAGATGATTTGGCAGTCACTGAAGAAGGGTTGGAGATTGAGTCCTGTTCCTGCAAAGCTGCAGTCACATAACATACATATGTGAGTCTCTTTGGCACTGTAGCTTCACCTCTCCCTCCTACTCAGGGACCAGCAGGACTTAGTAATAGGAGGCCTGATGCTCCCTAACCGTATGTCCCTGCAGACAGCTGCAGGGACTGACCATGCTGCTCACACCATGACTCCAACACTGCCACCACAAACTCAGCCCTGCCGCAATCCCATCTGGGATCAGGAGGTGCTCACAGGCCAGTGAGAATGTTGGCCTCCTAGGCAAGAGCATAAATTGTTGTGCAGCATCTCGAGTGCTGTCTGGACGTGTCCAGCTAAGAAAGATGCTGGTGTGAATGAAAGCCCTGGCGGATGACATGTAGCCTCCCTGTGCTCCAGTGGAGGTAACTGAGTACCCTGCTGTAAGCTGCAATCCCTGGCCAAAGGGACAGAAGAAAGGGCTAAGTACCCACTAAGGAGGAGATGTGGAGGTGTTTCGCTCATTTATAATTTCATAGCTGTCAAAACCAGCCTAAAACTGGGGGTAGAAAAGAAGTGAGAAGAAAAGCACTGTTTGCATAATCCTTTGGCAGTGAAATGGGCCAGGGTTCTTGTGGGAGAAGAGGAATTCAGTTTTTAAGAAACAAACAGCATTGCTGTACTAGGTAATAGCTGGACAGTCCTGCTTTCCTTCAGAGCAGCACAGAAGTTTACTGTGGGTTTATATGCCTTTTGTCCCCATGGTCTCTCCTCTGAAAAATGCTCTGTAAAATGGAACATTCTTGCTGTTTTCTTTAAAGTAATCTGTAATTGTTTGGCCTTAATGCAAAGGGAGCCACCCATCTGTTTGGTTTGGGGTTTTTTTCTCTTTTCCACAAATGTCCTTGTTTATGGTAACAGAGAAATCTAATCATCCAGCTCAAAGGAGAGTTACGCAACTACAAACCTCCTGAGATTTCAGTCTAATAGCAAATCTTGCTTAATACCCCCGTGTTCACTTCTTACTTCAGATTTGCAGCTCCTTTGGCATTACAGCTGTGTTCTTATAAAACAGATTAAACAGCAAAAGGAATGTTGAATGGAAAAGCTGTGTTATTTCTACCTTTCAGGACTTGGTGAAATGAGCCTGGCTGTGTTAAAACATGAGCTAAAATTCCCACTGGGAGCATTAGACTGAGTGATTCATATAAACACTTAAAAAAGTCAGCCTTGTTGAGCTTCCTAGTCAAATAAGGTGGGTAATAGTACACAAGCAGCAGAGACCTTCTCCCCCCTCCTTTGGAGAGCACTGTTGATAGAATACTACCGTCACTTATTCTCCCTGGAAAGCAGCAAGACAAGTATTGGGTAACAACAGAAAACCCAGGATTTGGTTAACTTTCCCATGAGGAATTGCGAGTATCTTTTCTGTGAAACTGCCTGGTGCTGTGAAACATTCTTCATCTGTGCCCTTGATGTGGGCCTTCTGGAGAGGGAAATCTCATCAACCTCTAGAAAAGCAGCCAGGTTTATGATCACTTTCTTTCACAGTTGACTTTCAAGGACAATAACCTTATTAGAAGGAGGTCTGAAGAAAGGTGAGTTACAGGTATGTTCATTTCATGTGTGTTGATAAAGGCATGGATGGAGTTGCTTTCTTTCCCTCTGTTCTGCACTGTCTAGTTTTCAGGAGCTGTCACTCAAACCCATCCTTCCCTTAGCTTTTTGCCTCTACCCACGTGCTCTGCGTGGGGCCTGATTCTGACCTCAGCACCAGTGCTGCAGCCATGGCATGGCTGTGGGGGGTGTGAACAGCACTAGTGGTCGTGGGCTGGCAGTGATCCCTTGCTGTAATATTGAACTCTGCTCTCTAGGAGCTGAAAAATTACCATGTGCTGGGACACCCTTCTGCACAACATCTTTTATGGGTGACTTGCATGGAGATCTTCCCTCGGCTTGCTTTGGGCCCTGCCTGCCCATCTTGGCAGAGGAGTACCCTGTTGCTGGCTCTGGAAGCAGCTCTAGCATCAGCCGCTGCAAAGATGCTAGTAGAGCCATAGCTGGAATAAAGCACGTCGCTCAGAGAATAGAGCTGGGTAGCCAAGTTTCTGCAGCACTTCCAGATGTGAAGCAGGGGAGTTGGTTTTAGCCTATTTTTCAGATTTTTTTTCTTTCTAATTTTTTTTTAAAGCATCATGCAAGTGCACTGGGAACAATTTGTACTGTTCGCTCACACTCAACTGCGTGTTCCCAGTGTCAGCACTTATCATTTTTTTCTAGCTAAGACTCTCCAACGAAAGTCACATCTGTGCATTGGGGCAGATTGGCAACAGAGATCTTTTCCACTGAAATCCAAGGAAAAACTATCCCATTCCACTCTGTCATATGTGTGACTTCTGCCCTTGGCAGGGTAATCCCATCCTGACAGACCACTCCAGGGACTGAGGAGGGGCAATGTCCATGGTCATTCAACCCAGGAGGCAAAATTCTTCGTAACTTTGGGGAGGTTGAACTGAATAAACACTGTATGATTTTTGCAAGAAGTGCTCCAAGGAGGTGTGATTGCTGAGTAACTTCACAACTGTGTGGACACTTGGGAGAAGAGGCTGCTGGAAAGTCACACAGGGTTTTATTTCTACAGGGAGTCAGGAGCTCAGACCTAAGGCTCAATGCCCCTGTCAGCATGCTGCACTGGTGCTTTAGCTTCGCCTTAATATGCATCTTTCCTCTAATTTTGTCCTGCCTGTAGTTTCAAGCAACCTCCTTAACAAATCCTACAGCATTTTCTGGGGAATTAACGTAACTGTGAGGGGGATTAGGTTGTGAGAGGAACTAAAGAAACCTCCAGTGCAGCCTATCTATGCTTCTTTTCAGGTGATAAGAAGTGTGTGTCATGATGCACAGGTTGCTGCTGCTTCTTCTCCTGGTCAGCTTCAGCTCACCTGCACCCAGGTTTTCCGTGAGTATCTTTCAGTTAGTGTCTGTACAATCTCTCAACGGTTCGTCATTCCCAGTCATACAGAGATGGATGTTCCCTCACAAGAGAGATGGAGATCTGTAAGAGTAGAGCAAGAAAGCATCTGCCTGCAGCTAAAGGAATGTCACTCTTCTTGTCCTGATAATACAGGGTTTTCACAGCATTAAGGGCTGTGCAGCTGTCTGGGTGACAGAATCGACATTGCTAAGAATTAAAAACAACAACAAGCTCTTTTTTAAAAATATGTATTTTTATTGCCAAAATATCAGCTCTTTTATCTTCCAGTTTTACACAAAGATGATTCTGGAACCTTGCTGGTTTGCCCTGTCTGCATGCAAGAGCCGAGTTTTCTCCCTCTTATCAATCTGAGCATTTTCATAGTCTGCAAACCTTCCCTTTGAGCTCATTTAATGGGGGTCAAGACAAATTATTTTTGTCCAAAGTAAGTTTTTGTGCATCTGATCATATTCTGGCATGCTCTGGTCAATGCCAAGGTTATTGTAGAAACACCATTTTCACTGGATTCAACTTAACAGCTCATGCTGTGCAAGATTTGTGTATCTTAGCAAGATACGACCATCAAATCATTTTGATCCACAGTGGCAATGTGACATGTTAGGGTCAAGAGGAGACAGATACTCCTCTCTCTGCCTCTTTGTACTTACCACTGACTGAAACATGGGGGGGGTTGTTTCATTTTCTCTGTAGGACAAAGATGTCTGCCTCCTAGACAACAATAATTTAAGACAAAGGTTAAAACAACTTCAAGACTTGCTTTACATATATGACCTGCAACTGAAGGACATCCTGGAGAACACTTACCACGGAACAAAAAGTGGGCTGTTCTCAGGCAACAGGAGCATGCAGCATGAGATTCTTTTACCCACAACCAGTGGAAATTTGATAGTTTATGACCAAGGTACAGTTTGAGTAACGTGCCATAATGTTTATTTCTCCCTGCAGTGTCTCATGTGTCATATTTTATTTCTGCTAAAAGTTTTAAATTTTTTAAGGTGGATTGTATTTTAAAATGCAGATACATGGGAAGGAGAAGAGCTGACTGGTGGTGCTGGTACCAGCAAATATCCTCTGGGGCTAGAGTCAGCTGGCTCATCTTTAGGCAGCTACCATCCAAGCACAACATGGACACCTGGAGCTGGGCTTCTCACTTGGGACTCTGCTGCAGAGAGGAACAGCCACCTCTCATGTTTTCCATTAGACTTAACTTTAGGCATCTGCTTTGGGAAAAGGTGGGCCCTGCTCTTGAAGAGCCCATTTCCCCTGAGTGACTTAGGGAAGTCCAGAGTGCCTAGCTCAGCTGCAGACACTGAAACCTGTTTAGAGGAGCCAAGCCTCCCCATTCCTCAGTTCCTTCATCACTTCTGTGGCGCAGTAACAGGCATGCATACTTTGTTCTTTGGTGTTACTTTGAGAACATGGCCATAAATGGCATCTTTGCCTGTGGCCAAGATTTTATCCTTTGTGGGGATTACATTGAAAGTGCAGAACACTGAGATCCTGAAAGGCTCTGTCCTGATACAGCCCTTGTAGTGCTGGTCACAGAAGCTTAGCCTCTTATTTTAGAATTGTTGTTCCCTGATCCTATCTGAAATACAGCTAAGGTTACCTTACTGTCCACATGGAAATTAGCTTCCCTGCAAATGATCTTGCTGACAGAGATGGTTTCAGTCCTGCATGACTATGATGCTATAGCCTCAGCCTAAGCTGCAGCTGTCCCAAATCTCACCAAAGATTTGGAAATGATTCCCTCAGAAGGCATGGCTGTAAAGGCTCTCAAGCCTTACTGCTCTTTGTCAGGCCCAGCCATTTGCAAAATAGCCTTGCTACTACATTGCTGAACCATTTGCTTTAATTTTCCAGGGCTTGCATAGCTATACACAGGCTAGCTAAGTGTTCTTGTCCCACACAGCCTCTCAGTGAGGTCTTCTCTTGGTGGCACATACCCCTTTGCTTTCCCGCCACACTGTTTAACAAACAGATACCACTCTGCCTAGATTGCTCTGCGGTGTATAATCGGAAGAAAACCAAAAGTGGCTACTACCGAATCAGGCCCAGAGCAGACCGAGAGCCTTTCCTGGCGTACTGTGACATGTCTGATGGAGGGGGGTGGACGGTCATCCAACGGCGGAGTAACGGCAGGGAGAATTTCAACAGGTGGGTGCATCGTTGTTGCATCCAGAGGACTTTCAGTCAGGCCAACAGCTCCCACCCCTGTCCTGCTGCCTTAACAACCCCCACCCTTGAGAAACAGGATATGCAAGACTATATATTAGTCTCACATATTAGATGATTACTTAGGATTAGAGCAATCTGGTGGTACCTACTGGCAGCAGGAGGCCATTTTCAATTTGGACCTATCATATCCTTTCCATAGTTTTTCTGCATTTGAATGCATATTTGTTTTATCATTATTGGAGACTGTCAAAGGCTCCAAACTGGCAGGCATTTGCTGCCAGTGCATAGACTGAGATTTGTTGAACATACGTGTTTCCATATCAGGAATTATGTTCAGCATGTTGTAAGATTTATTACCGTATTTAGACAATTCAAAAAGATGCCAAACCAGATTGTCCTTTCTCTATGCAAAGTCCCAGAGAGGTGACTTTCACACAGAAATTTACAGGAGGAGAGATGCTCTGGTAGCACAGTAAAAAAGAAATGTCCCCATGCAGATTATTTCACTATCACAGCACCCGCAATTTCAGGGCATATCTAGTGCCTCTTAAAGTCTGTTCAGTCCATTGCAAAGCTACCTCAACTGGCTCTAAGCTGGCTTGCCCAGAGAGTGATAGCTATCTGGCCATGGCAGTTCAAGTGAATGGAAAACATCCTGAAGAGGAGCACTGACTAGTATGTAGGTCAGGTAGAATCAATATCCATAATAATAACATCAGAGAGGGAATAAACACAGGGTTACTAAAACTGGAAATGATGATACACAGGAATTATATGTGAATATCAAAGATAATATATAAATCATGTGAATTATGACTTGGTGAAGAACAATATCAGGTATTTTGCCGAAGACCAATGTGACAGCTGCTGCTTTCCCTTTTCATCTAACTGACAACCTCACCCTGTGAGCATCACATCTGCCAGTTTGAAGGCTTGATCCCAATATATGTGTGTGCACAGGTTTAGCAGGAGAAAAAGTAAGCTGTGGGTTGTACTTACTTCTAAGGCAACGTGACAAATCTCAGCTCAGCTTGTGATGAGTTGGATACTTTTAGAAAACTGTCTAGAAATACAGGTGAAATTTTACTTGTTACCATATCCGAGTGTCACAAACTGTCTAATTCTCTCACATGCTGAAATTGATATTTGTGTCTCACTGCAGGAAATGGGATGAATACAAACTGGGATTTGGGAGATTCCAGAGCAAGAATGATGAATACTGGCTGGGCAATGACCACATCTATGATCTGCTTGCTAGAGGTATTTTTCCTCTTCAGATTTCTTTGTAATTTGCATTAGATAGTTCATCTAACAGGACACAACTTTATGTTTAGGAGAGAGCTCATTAAAGATTGAACTGATGGACTGGCACGGGGAAAGACGTTACGCAGTCTATGAAAATTTCCAACTTGCAAATGAGCAGGTAAGAAAGGGGGAGAGCCATGATTTGCTTGTTTTGTTCTGTGAGGGTGGGGCATCTGCATATGCAGCATCAGACCAGTATCAGGTTTGTAACTACAGCTCTGCGAAAGTTATCTTCTGTGGTTCCCTGGGCTTCCTAGTTTGTCTGACTGACAAACAGTCCTGAGAGCAGGGACATAAGCCTGGGATCTTTCCCTTACAACTGTGGAGTGTCAAAGTCACCAGGCGACAGAATCATGTGTGTATGCTCTCTTGCTATTTCTGCTGCGGCACCGAAGGCAGCTCTATGGTAGTGCATCTCTCTGCTGCAGGGCACAAAGAGATATGTTCTTTCCTCTGGTCTCATGATTAAAAAAGTCTGCTGTGAGTGAGAAGACCCTTAGGGTTTGAACCTCTGCAACAAAATGGAACCCTGTTCTCCGACTTCGTAAGGGAGTGTTTCAGACTGTCACATAAAAGGCAAGCACCAGAACAAACCCTCTCTACCTTGTTTTAAAATAAAACAGTGAACTTTAATCAAAGCCTTGAAAGAGCAGTTGTAAGTTCCTATCTTGAAAAGAGGTACCTGTAGCACTACACCTCATGCTACAGACACAGAAAGCCCAAAGACAGAAACATCCTGTATTTATTTCCACGTTTGCTTCCTAGCTGTAGACAGCGTCCTGCTCCATACAGGTGCTGTACTTTGCAGGCTTGCCTTTCTGAACACCACATGCAAGTAGCCCAAATAAACAAGGACATGAGTTCCATTGCATGGACCAGTCCTAGTACCAACTCCATCACTGCTCCAGAAATGTACACATTATGCTCAGTTTGTGATTAGAGCTTTCTTATTAAAAGTTTGAACAGCTTAATTTTAATACCTTATTGCCATTTTTCATAAAGAAAGGAGGACTATGATGACAGGAGAAAGCCCACAACACAAAAGTAATCATCCATCTCATATCAAATGTCTCTTAGACCTGTTAGCTGTGCACAAGGGAACTATTATTCTAATTATTCCCACCAGGACCAGACCATTTAGCCAGAAATCAGACGACTTCTAGTCCTTGGAAGAGCAAAATGCCTAAGAATTTATTCTAGCTGAACAACTGATCAGTTTATGAAGGCAACTACTTGGCACAGTTTTTTGCTAAGTTTGTTCTTGGTCAGCTAGAAAGAGCCTTTCATCTTGCTGTAGAGTGTATCAAGTGGTTGTTGAACCACGACAAACCTGAAGCCCTTTGTAGCAGCAGCAGTAATTAGCAATCCCTCCTGTAAGTTTAAATCCTTCATTGATCTGCACTAGGATCATTAAAGCATGGAGACAAAAGTCACCCTTGACTTCAAAAGTGGATAAAATGGCCAGAGCAAATTTGATCTCAAAAATGGGAGGAAGGACAGAATGAGCTGATATCAAAGACATGTTTCACATATTCCTGCAGGACAATTACAGGCTATGGTTTGGCACGTATTCTGGTAATGCTGGCGACGCTCTGTCTGCTGGGAGCAATTTTGAAGATCAGTGGTCAGCCTCTCATAGAGGGATGCAGTTCACCACATTTGACAAGGATCACGATCGATTCCTGGCAGGCAACTGTGCATCAGAGAATAAGGGCGGTTGGTGGTTTAACAGGTATGGAAATAACTGATTCCTCTCAGATGAGTCGAGTGTGGGTGGCTGTACAGCTGAGAGGACTTGCCTGCCTTACAGCAGCTGGACGTTGCTGTGTTCATTCGCCACCTTGCACAGCCAAACCTAAGATGTTCACACCTACAGATCCTCAAAGGAAAGCAAACTGCTTCTTTCATTATAGCAAAGCAGGAAAGTTGAATTCATTTTAAGAAATGGGCCACAGGTAAGTTGCATTCATTTTAGGAAAATGGGTCAGAAGAAATGCATAGGGGCCAATGACCTGGAAGGAAAAAAGCCCAATTAAGATTCCTAAAAGTGCTTTGGGTTATACACCAGAAAAGAAAACAATTGTACCCATAGCAAGCTGAAGCATGTACAAAGGACATTTCTCTGTTGTGGAGCATGTCTAGATGGTGAGCTATCCCATAACAGATGTGATGGTATATTTGCTAGTTGGGCATATGCCACACATCAATGGGCAGGGACTCTGGTTCACCTGCCCTGGGACCATGGACACACCACTCTCAGTTTTTCTCTGCTTTACTGTAGGATGAGCCCCTTTGGCCAGACCCTCATCACATAACAATTGAAATCAGTGAAGCTACATCAATAGTAGGATTTACCTTCATTAAAAGATATCTGCATTTTTAAGTGTCAATATGGAGCTGCCTACACTTGAGCTAGAGCCTAACAAATGGCACTACACCCCTCTGTTTAGGCAATGTGGTTATAATGTCCATAATTAATACATCTGAAGGAGTCTGCATGTTGAATTCTGTGACTAGTGTAGGTGTCTGCTTTAGTATGACCCACATACTTGTTTGGGTTCCACTAAGTGCACTAACCACATCTCCATCCCACCCTGGTATTTCTAAATGTAAGTTGTGTGAAAACTGTACTGTACTGCAATGATGCAATATCTTCCCACGCTAAGCATAATTCCCTTTTTCCCTCTCCTACCTCGTTACAAGGTGCCATGCCGCAAACCTCAATGGACGATACTACAGAAGAGGAAGGTACAAGGGCTCCCATGACGATGGCATGGTTTGGTCTACGTGGCATGGGATGTGGTACTCGCTAAAATATTCAGCCATGAAAATCAGGGCTCCGTTCTTCATTGACAGTGAGAGTGGGGACGGAGAGAACAGTCAGGGCAGCTGAAACCTGCTGCTTTGGAAAGAGGAAAAGTACAGACTGAAAAGAATTGTATAAGTTGATAGCTGGTTCTCTGCTGCTGCCAATTGCCAAACCTGCACTGTGATAACTGGAGTTGCACCTGCTTCTGCTACCTGAAACTAACAGCACGAGTTGTTTGAGCACAGCCAGACAAAAATTTAACAGAAAACATATGGATCTCAGTCATGGGATAACCACAGATTTCTTTTTCAGCAGTTTTCAGGAATTTGTTGGAGAATGTTTATTAAAAGCTCTCTGGACTTCGAATGATCAAGCTAGTAACCACGGCAGTGTTGGATCAAGGGTTGGACTTGATGATCTTGGAGGTCTTTTCCAAGCCGGTTGATTCTATGATTCTATGATTCTAAGCATGTCCCGTAATCTATCTATACTCTTTGAGGTCTAAACCTTTCTCATCTTGATTTTAACCATCAGTGCTTCAATTATGAGGACATCAGAACAGAAAGAACAAGGTAATGGGAAATTGGACTTCATCTGGTGTGCCTTTACCAGTGTTTTGTTCTGCCTCAGGAGATGTTTTTAAGCTACTCTCCCTATGGTTCTAAAGTGCCACAGTTCAGTATCAGAGTGCCTCTGTAGTGTGTGAAACCAAACGTGGATGGATGTGCTCCAGCTGCTAATGTACATCCAGACTAAGACTACTTCAAAGTAAACCTCCACAATAGGGACAATGTGGGCACGGGGTTCCATTGCCAACAGCTTCCTGCTGGAGATCCACTGCTACAGCACACTGCAACACATTAATGCAAAGACAACCCTGCCGACCAGATTTAAGCCCCAGACTACAATTAGGCAGATTTTACTAAATTTAGCTGAGCACAGATATTCTTAGGAGTTCCTAAAATGCAGACATGATTCATTTGTACATTCGCCTGTAATTTACCAGATGACTTTGAGTTAGTGAAAAGGAATTAGAAAGTAGAAAGTGGTTGAACCACAGGGCAAACTACTTTCATTGTCTCATTGGAGTGAAGCAAAAGAGCAATACAAATTACTGAAAGAAACGGAACACTGAAAGTTTATTTTCCACAAGTTGTTAACAGCAACCGTTAAAAATGAACAGCAGTATCAGCTTGATGCAAGTCATTTGACTATTGTGATGTAGAATAAGCCTAATTTTTTTATGATTTACAATTTTTTTTTAACTGGTAGCTCTTTTCCATTTATTGGCTTTTAGATCCATACATATTGTCATTTGTATATACATCCATAAAGGATGAAATAAAACCAGCTGAGTAGGACTTAATACTTTTAGTCTGGTTTTTAACAGTAGGAACTTGAGCAGAAAGTTGGATTAAAATCTTGTGAAGGTCATAATATGAGAAAAGCATTCCTTTGGTATTGGCTCCAATTCTTTTCTACTTGTTGTCCTAGGTAATTGAGAGGGTCTGCAAGGTAAGTTTAATTTCCATGGCTAAAGCTGTCCAGGAGACAATGCATAGACACGTGGTGAAGGTTCAGTATAAAATTTGGTTTGGTTACTCTGCTTTGTCAAGAGGCAAACCCTGTTCTCACTGCTTCCTAGACATCCCAGTGATTACAAATGTGAACACTGGAATGCAGTGGGCAGCACTCTAGGGAACCATGTTCCTAAAGTCTGTGCTCTTCACAAGACTGCAGCCCCACCCTTTTCCCAAGCATACCCACTTGGAATGAAATGTGCACCTACCTGTCTGAAATGAGGTCGCCCTTGTGAAGAAAGAGCTGCAAAGAGCTAGCACTTGCTATTTCCCTTCTGATCAATATATATATATATATATAATATATATATAATAATAATAATGGCCAGTCTTCGCGAACGAAGATTTGGGGAAAGGTCTTTTTACCTTTCCAGCCTGCGCAATGGATTTTTTAGGTGAGACACAGCACGCGCTGAACTGAGCCCACCCTTTAATCCTAAGGTTCATCTGCCGGGGCCAAGCAAGCTTGGACAATGGCAGTGAGGTCCTCAGGATGTAGGTTTGTTTAGAGTGACCTTCTCATAGATGGATGGCCTCACAGGGCTAACGGACTCCATCTGCCCGGGGGACTGGCTGGATTCGAACCTGGGTCGCAGAGGTGAGAGTCCTGCATGCTAACCACTAGGCCACCAGGGGTCCGGTTCTGATCAATACTTCTGTGTTTTACTAAGGTAAAATCTTAGTGCAAGGTTGTAACTGCATGTTGGGAACATAAGAAATGACTTTGCACAGATTATAATTGTGTGGCCACTGATGAAGTGCTGAGGGCAGTAAGGACGGCTTTTGTCTACATTGAAGACCCAGAGAAATGTGAGTGAAATCAGTTAATGCCTTCTGGCCAGTGATGCTAAATCCCATCTTTCAGTAGAGGGCTAAGGAAACAGGGTAAAGATTACAGACTGCAGAAACTACAGCACTGAAGGGACAGCATTAGCAATTTCACAGTTCATTAAGCAGCCAATAAACCGTCTGATAATGAAGTATCAAGCTGGAAATAAAGTCAGCAGGGCTTAGTCAGACAACTGCCACCTGGTCAAGTTCCCCAATGAGTGAGCAATGAGCGATGTAAAGTCCAGACTATGGAGCCTGTTTCCCTCTACGCCAGTATGGAAAGGCAGGCGTTATTGTTGGACTGCCTTCAGCCATCATGAATGTTATGGTGCTTTTTTCTGTCTCTGAGAGAGAAAGAGGGGACAAAGTATGACAAGCTGGGAGGGAAGGGGTCTGCCTTGTTGTCTTTGTAAAGTGTACCTAAGCACATTTAATGCATTACAGGAGCTGTTCTGAAGACAGCCCAACACTGGGAAGTTTGCAGGAAGCAGCATCTGATTTAGAGCAACACTCCCCCTTCTCTGCCCTCCTGTGGCAAGAGGGGACCCCCTTGGAGATGCAGAGGTCACAGGGCTTTGTGCAGGAGCCTTAAGCTCCCACAGCAAACCCCAGGAAGCATTTCAGAACCCCCTTTATCTCAATAAACAGGGTAAAATGCCACTAGCTGAGTACTTATTTGATCTGAGGGCTACTGCCAAGCTCAAATCACTCCCACTAAAGGTTAGGGGAATGCTTGCTGAATGTTGCTGTGCTGTACATTTAATCTCCTGTTTCTCCAGGGTTTCCCATGCTGAGAGGCTCAACAAAGCTTAAAAGATACTGTAGCCCTGCAGCTCCAAGTCTGACAGATCTCTGCTTCAGGGCAAACGTGCTTCATACTGCAAAGTTTACCTTATTACAGCCTTGGTGAGAAACCTGAGCAGCAATTGCTTCAGAGGTTTGATTTCCAGCTCATTTAAGTCAATTTAAAGACTCATTACATTTGACTGCCTTTGGATAACTCTTCGAGTGTGGACATGTTCTTACATGCTTTAAACAGCATTTCAAGCTGACAGCTTATGGGAATGCATAGCCAGTACAAATGCCATGCTGGGCCAAAGGCTGAACACCAACAATGTGCCCTGTTGGCACAGCTCCTGGGAAAGAGGGAGCTCACATCACCCTGTGAGTCGGATCTGCTACTCCAGCAGCAGCTTCAAAACTTCACCCATCAAAAAGGCCATTCAAACAGCCAGATTAGATTCTGGTGGCCAAATGCTGAGTCTTTTTGCTCCTAGGTTGTCAAAGAAAGTGACTGTGTGCCTGTCAAGCTACCTGTGCATGCTTTGGACACTTCAGTGGGGTGCCATAACTGGCAGCTGACACACAGTGATGCTGCTCTTCCTTTAAAATTGCTGTTGCTTTGCAGGGGGTGGGGGAGGGGGGAAGTGTGGGATTGGGAAACCTATTTTTCTGCTCAGAAAGCCCATTTTGAGAAAGATAGCACCTCCTTCCAGAGAACAGAGCACATGCTAATTTTTCCTTCACACCCACAAGGCAGATTAAAGGGCATGTAGGGTTGGGCTCCTTATGGGAGAGTTAAGACTGACAGTCCACTGCCTAAATATATCTTCTCTCATACCTACCTCCATGGGCAGCACCTCCTCTTTTCTTGCTTTTGCCCACTAGCATTACCTTGCTCTTTGCAAGTCCCTGGAGAGACAGCTATCCCAACAAATGGCAAGCAAAGTCTCTAAGTCATTCTTTCAGGTCTGAGCTCTGGCTCTGTTGTTAACCAGGTTTCCAACCCAACTCTGAATACATGCAGCAACGTATAATGACAAATTTGTGATCTCTAGTTTTAAAGCACAACAGACAAACCCATCATGGCTGTTGCACTTCACTGTTACCGCTCTCTACAACTGTCTGAAAGGAGCTTGTAGCAAGGTGGGGGTCAGCCTCTTCTCCCGGGTAACAAGTCACGGGACCAGAGAAAATGGCCTCATACTGTGCCAGGGGAGGTTTAGATTGGATATGAGAAAAAAATTCTTCACTGAAAAGGTGGTCAGGCATCGGAACAGGCTGCCCAGGAAAGTGGTGGAATCACGGTCTCTGGAAGTGTTCAAAAAGCATGTGGATGTGGCACTTGGTGATATGGTTTAGTGTAAACATGGTGGTGTTACATTAATGGTTGAACTTGATGATTTTAGAGGTCTTTTCCAACCTAAATGATTCTATGAGTCTATAAGATTCTCTGTGAATCACCAGATGTTGTCATTTTATTTTTAATTTTCGTTAACATAACAGGTATTAACCAAATAATCTTGTTGTTTGCTGGTTTTGTTCATAATTTATTTTGAGCTTGCTGTAGTAGTATTGTTGTCAATATATTTACATTTAAAGGAAAGGATAATTATGGAAAGGATGCATGATTCAACAGTTCTCAGTGCTTTTTACAGGTAACATTCTACAGTAACATTTCTGCAAGGACTAAAATCTGATCATCTGTTTTCTTTGGCCTCCTTGTAGCATGCCTTTTCTAAAATTTCCTGCAAATATCTGTACATCATTGTTTTCCTGGCATAAATATTGACAGAAAGAAAATATCAAAGTCTTGAATGATGAAAAATGCCTCCTCAGTTTTAAATTCACTCCAAGTATTCAGCATCAATTGTTTGTACTTCCATGCAACCTGCTAAAAACCCCCCACCAGATGACTTATTTGAGCAACTACAACAGTTCAATGACGCTAACCAGAAAAATGATAAAAACTGCTCACCACTAGAAGTTTGTCCTTTCTAAATGAGAAATCATTCATTAATCAGGGCAGATGGTTGAGGATGCTGTACAATGGATGCTTCAGTATGTCACAGTCTATTAGTACAGAGTCCACAAGGTGTGAAAGGCTAGATCAGTGGCACTCATCATCTTTGATTCATGAAACATGACCGCTTTAGGCAATAAAATCTATTGGCTATTCCTGGATCATGTCTTCACTAACATGTGCTTTCCCAGAGTATTTTGTGTGTATTGTACACACATGCATACAAAAAAATATTATATGAAAGCACTTTTCAGTAATTAGAAAGGAATATGTTCCCACAAGCCAGATCTGGGGCATTATTCCCTCCTGCTCCATGTGAAGGTAACGTGATTCCTGTTGCTTCTTCTACCAGAAGCCAACTGATCCTCCAGATTCTCTACCACGCATGCCCCTCCTGCAGGGCCGCAATGAGTCACTCAGATCACCAGCTTCTCAATGCTTAGAGTACTTGTTCCATCTTCTTCATTTGAACCAAAATACCCAGGGAGGTCAATCATCTGCTGCTCTGCCTCTGTTAAGCCAAAAGTACTATTATCATAAAAGGCAAACTCAGGGTCCAAGGGGAAGCTCTGGCACTTGTCCCTACGATGCTGGGCAGGGCTTACACTCAGGCCTCTCTGGGAATTATCTTTGCCATTTGAGCCTGTTTCTTTCCGCCACATGCCTCTGGGGTTAGGTGAAGGGCCCCTCTTACTTCGGCTGGACTCCGTTTTTTCACCTGCCTTCTCCTGACCAGCAGGCTGGCGGTCAGTGATCAGGTCCAGCTTCCTCACCGGGGGACCTGCCCTGTGGTGGGACTTTGTGCCATGGCCCTGTGGTTCACACCCCAGCACAGCGTTGTGGGGCTGATCCAGCTTTTCGCACGCTGGATTAGCATTTCTGGATTTTGGCCGTGTCCTGTCCTCCAGGCTCTGGTCCCATGTCCTGGTCCTGGAGTTGTAGAGAGGAGTCTGTCGGGGTGTGAGAGTGGACATGCTTCTCTCTCTGAAAGGCCTGGCCTTTTTAGTTTCATGGAAACTGGCTGTTCTTCTAAACTGTGAGTTTCTGTGACAGCCCCTCTCGGGCAAGTCTGCTTTGTTATCCTGGTGCTTGAAATGAGCTCTTCTTACTAGGGTTTGGGTAGGGCTCACCGCAGGATTGGCCTGTGAGAAT